TATGTAAACCCTATTTTATGATCCATCTTACAAATGTATAACAAATAACAGAAAATACGAGTTGTATCTTGTATGTAAACCCTATTTTATGATCCATCTTACAAATGTATAACAAATAACAGAAAATACGAGTTCAGTAGCGTTCAGAACCTATCAGAGTTGTAGCATAGAGAGGACAAATGGAATCATTATCCCCCCTAGATCTAACAATTCTCCTCCCTCCACTACCAATGTAGTAGTTTGGCTACTGAACTGAAACCCATTAAACATTAAGTTATCTTATATTTATTACCTATTTTAAGATTGCAGATAGCCATACAATTAGGTAGGTAGTATATGTAGGAGAAAAAATAATTTAATACTTTAATATAAGCATCAAGTTTAATTATTCTTTGTGTTATACAGGGTGATTCTTTTATCAAACAACACTCAATATTTCAAAAAGTATTAATTTTTTTCAAATTTTTTTTTTTCAAATTTTAGATTTACGCTGTTCTAGAATTGTATATTTTTTTATATTTTTCAGCCTTATATTTATTAGGTAGGCAAACCACTATCAACTTTTGATTTTCAAATGGTAACCTATACTTTAAATTTCATAAATTAGTAAGGCTATATTTTTTTATGAATTATCACGTTAAAATTTTCATTTTTCGTTTATCGGTTGATGAGATGTCGCTACTCAAAGTTGGGTGGTTTTGGAAGGTGGTTATTGTGTGGAATCTTAGTCCGTGGTATTTCCCATAAAAATTGATAAGCATATCGGTATTATCACATATTATCAATATAATAATGATTTATAAGCAACTCGAAATGGCGGTTAAATATCATGTAAACATTGTTTGTACTTTTTGCTTTCTATTATCTGGCTTTGATAGTGTGATTTAGTGATTTAGTGATTCCTACTTACTATTTCTAGTACTTATCCTGGAAATGGAAAATGTGAATATGAAATATTAAATAAAAATGACAATTATTTAGTTTGTTATAAGTGTTATTGTTATAGTATTTAATTTAAATAAATTATATGACATTTTTTTATAGTTTACTTGTTTGTGTTCATTTATTTATTAAGTTTTGAATATTGTGTACACTAATACTCTATACATTTTTTAGTCATGAATTAGTGTTGACTTTAACAACAAACATCAAAATGAGCGAAAAATCATTCAAAACTGTTAAAGCTAAATTGCTAGAATGCAACAGGTTACCAGAACCAATAAAGGACATATTAAAAATAACGGTAAAATTATTTTGTTTGAATTTATACTTTACTCACAACATAATGGATTTAAATAACTAAATCTTTCAATTAACAATACACAAGTTCAAAGTAAATATATATATACTTATGTTATGGAACTTGGAGTCTTGGTTATGGTAAAGTGGTAAATCAAAAATGTATTGAATACAACTATGACAGATTATATTTTATACTTTTAAACCTATTCTGGTTAAAGTGACTTGTAGTGGTCTGTCGACCGCAGGTGTCATTGCAACGAAGAGGATGACGCTTATTTGTTGAAATGATTGTGTATACTATTTCTATTTTGTACAGTTTATTTATAATGTTCCAGGTTAAACACATTAAATCGATAACTGAAAAATGATTATGTTGAACTTTTCTAGGCTACTTTTTTAATATAGTACCCGTTCTAACCTTGAGGTTAAAATATAGTTGTATAGACATGTAATTTAATATAGACACTATTTTTAAAAAAAGGTGCGGAGTATACTCAACCATAGTCAAAAAATAAGTTATTCCTTAGGCTAAATCTCTTTAAATTGTCTTAAATTTCTGGTTTAGTTTATTCAATTTTTTATTAATTGTTTGTATACATTTCTGTGTTCCTCCTTGCCACCTATTAGTAATACCTACTAAAATTTAGCACTCGACACTGGTAATAACTTATTTATGTATTTATTAAAAAATATATCAGACACTTTAAAACAAGTGTAAATGCTAAAAAAAAACCTGCCTTTATTTAATAATAAAATAAAGTGTATAACTTCATATTATTATACATTTTTTATTTACCATATAAACAAAACATAGAACTAAAAATAAATAAATTGAATTGCATTTGTTTAGGACAATAATTCATTAAAAGATATAGATGAAAACAATTTCAATCAGTTATGGATTTTGATATATGATTTTATTAAAGAAGCTACAGTTCTTGAAAATATTACACATGATGTAGAGCTATTGTTATGCTATCAATCTGTTTTAAACCTTGTCAACTATACAATAACTTGCGCTGATGAAGACATAATAAGGGTATATGAACATAATTATGTACATAAAACCATACTGGTTTTTCAAACTTTTTACTCTACAAATCTCAAATTTAAGGTAAATATTTAAATAATTTGTTATGAAAAACCTATTATTACTACATTAATATTAAATAGTAATTAAGTAACTGTTGTAAATTATAATATTATAATGCTGTAAGTACCTACTATAAAAATTGTATTGTTCTCTAATCTGGTATTACATGGTTGTAATAGAATATTTTTCTTAATACAATTTACTTAGTTGCATATTTTAATCAATTTTTTTAATAACCTTTTTTTTTAGTTCAAATTAGATATTGCAAAAATGTGCTGTAGCTACTGGCAATTACAAACTTCTTCACCAGCACAAAATGGATCTGAGAATGTATACAATTTTGATATGATTTTAACTAAAAATTTTGTTTTTACTTTTAATTATTTATTTGATACTATTAAAGTGACTACAAAAAAAAATGGATATGGTAAGATTATGGTACCTACAATGTTTAATTTGTTTTTTTGGTAACGGTTTTATTTTTATTTGCATGTTGCAGAAAATATTATCTGCTGTATTGTGGGAATTTTGCAAAGTTGTGAGAAATTTATCGTCTAATATAAATGGATTGAATTTAATTGTTCCCAATTTAAAAAAATTGATGAAGTGCCCAATGTTTTTGGAAGTTGACACAGGAAAATTGACAATAGCAGATATATTTACATGTAGTCAACAACTATTTCTCGTAATATTTTAAGTAACAAATAATTTGATTCCAATACTTATATGATATGCAGTGGCATAATATATGTGTATCCTCTATAGGTCAATTAATTAACAATAAAACTACCCACCAACTCATCAACTCAAAAATTTTTGTTAAGGTGATTATGTGCTAGTCAATGTTCAAAAACTAAATTTTAAATTGTTTTATTTAAATATGCCACTGCTTATTATAGGTGTTAATATTGAACTATTAAAATTGAATGATAATATATATTATGTATTTTTGTAGAAATTTCATCAAGCAGTTAAACAAAATTTACCAAAAGCCAACAAGGTAGAAGCTGAAGCATATGGAGAAATATATTTTATGGCTTGGATAAATTCTAACTCGTCCATAAGAGAAGTACTTTTTTATAAACATCTTAATATTGACTATAAATTCTACAATAAGTATAATTACAGGTTATTGAAGAACAGAAAACATTTAATGTTCAGCAAAGTTATAACTAAGCTATATGCTCCGGTTATTTGGAGACAGTAAACGGTATACTTTAAAATTTTACTTTAAGAGTAACATAATAATTTTATTTTTAAAACAATTTTTTTGTATTTATGCTACTTAAATAGAGTGAATTTAGTGTGATCAGATGCAATGCTACTGGCATTTTAGCAAGAGCTTATCTTTTGGAAAAAAGAGGAGAAGGTCGTGAAATATCTTCAAGGTTTTTAATGAAACAGCAAAATGCATTTTTAGATTTATTGGTAGATGTTTGTCCTCAAGTTCGAATAGCTGCTATAAAAGTATGTAAATATGATATGTTAATGATTTATCAGGTTATTAGATATATACTTTTTAATTTTAATATACATTATACATTGTAAAAAGTTTCATATTTACTACTTTATTGTGATGCGCTGACATGGGTATATGGGTATGTGCTAACTTTCATAGATAAGATATGAAAAACCAAAAAATTGAGACCTTTCCTCTAAAATAAAATAATAGTGCAGTAATAAAATTACAATATGGTCACTAAAAACAAAATTTGTTTAGTAGTTTTTTATAAAACAATATTTATTACATTTTTAACTCACCCATAGCTTCTTTAATATCTATTTCCAATTTTCTGGGTCAATTATCATCATCATTATATACCTTGTAAAAAAAAAAAAAATAAATATTTTGTAAATTAAAAATAAAAAACATTTTTTTTTACTTAGCTGTTTTTACTACATTCGATATAATTGCCACATGTAAGAATGTTGCTTTTACTTATAAATTTATGGCATATAGTGGTGCGAACAATGTGCTGCAATGTCAAACTGTCAACCAAGTTTTTATTTTTTTGGTAAAACCATTAAATGTTCACAGATTGCATACAATATTTTCAATTTTTCTTTTTAAGTTATAAATGAAATAAGTTATTTCCAAATGGTATGATAGTTTATATTATACTTTATAGAAGCTAGAAACATTACATTTTATAAATAGCTTAAAATTATCAAATCAATGGTAACATCTTATTTATTAAAAAGATAAATGCATTTGTTAATTTTAAATTAGTAATTACATATTAATTAACTAAAATTAATGATGTTCGATTACTTTACTGACTACATATAATTCATAAATAATCTTTACATTCCTCTATGAAATAAACCATGCCACAAATAATGGTTTATCACTATCACCAATCAGATGGTGAAACAAAAAATTTAAAAATGAAAAATTTCCACCCTCTTCTAATGTTACAAATTACTGTGGACACCCTTCATTGGTGCAATTGTAAAAAATATTCTTAGAAAATTTAGTATATCATTACTCATTAGGTATTACCTAAATTACATTATTTCAATAAATTAAATATATTATATAAACGTGTTGTGTGATTGTACTGCACATGGTGAATATTGTAATGTTAAGAAATGTATGTATTGTGATATAATATTATTGACATGATATTTCACTATCTTTCGTTTTTAATCCATTTATATTTAACCGTCAACAATTAATAAAATTAAACAGTTTTGTATTTTCCAAAATAATGTCAGTACGACATTTTCAAGTACGAGTATAATATGGAAGAGAAACATAACATTTTATGGGTCAATCGTATATTTAAATTTAAAAATAAATAAAAATACATTTTAAATTTCCCTCCTTAAAAATCCTAACATACAGTACAAATTATAAAATGCATAAGTAGGCGGGTAACTACAGTTTATATACAACAATTTTACATTCCTTTTTATTATATTCGCATGGTTTATTTAAATTTACCTGATTTTACTATATATTTTTACTATAATTGTTATAATCGTTATTTTTTGTATGTTGTCTGTCGTGTTTAGCCACTCCCAATCGCGTTAGAAGAGAAGCTAGAGGATATGTCAGTCAGACAAGTTCCATGACGGAAGCTGCAAGTGACGAAGTCGACTTGGAAATGGAACCAGAGCGAGTGACCTTGTGAGTTAGACATTTTGTCTTATGATTTGTCAAAAACCAATATGTTGTCTGAGAGTATGATTTTAATAAAATATATTAATAATGCGGTAATGTGTAAGTATGCGCAGATATTACCCACCAGAAATGGTTTTATATTTTGAAAAACAGACGATAATAAGTTATTTTAGTTTTTCATTCGAGAGTATATATTCAATGAAATATTTTAACTGTTTTATGGATTAGTACTAATTTAAGTGACTTTAATTTTTTTTTTATTTCAAAGTTATTAAATAAAAACATAGAACCTATAGATAGTATCTACATATTTATCGATTTAAAATATGTTTAAAATTAATTCAAATATGTTTTTAATTTATTTTTGTTATATAGGTTAACCGACGTCCACAAAAATGCTATTCGAGCCATTAGAAAGATCAAATATTTTGTAGCTAGAAGAAAATTTTAACAAGCTAGAAAACTATACAATGTGCGCGATGTTATCGAACAATACAGCCAAGGTCATTTAAATATGATGGTTCGAATAAAGGTAAAATTGAAGTGTTTCAAAATTGTAATAAAATATTCCAAATCAACTATGTATTTGCGCCTAATTTTATGTATCATTCTATTATACAAGTGATAATGTAACAAAAATAATTAAATTTATCCATATTTGATCTTCTTTTATGACATTAAAGTACATCAAGAAAACGATTTTCAAAGGATTTTCCAAGATTTTTTTCGTCACTTAATAGTTACTTATTACTGCCATTTAATATAATATAATAATGCTTTACAAATTTGATTTACACCTTTCATCACATTAAATATTATTATAATTTTTTAATTAAAGAAAAAACGTTTGTACATTTTTTTGCTCTGAAAGCACAATGTCCTATAATCCCTAACAGCAAGTATTTTAAGTGCATATCTATTATGCACTTTTGGACATTTCAGGACATATTTATATAGTTTTATAAGGAATATTCCTCAATGCTTATTGTATTTTTATACATAGATTTCGAAAACCATGAATTTTCATATTTTAAGACCAGGCATGTCAGAAGTTATGGTATAAAAAATTACTGAAGCATATCTGATATTATAAAATATGTATGATTGTATGAAGTATATACATAATTTTAAGTTTTTACTCTGATTACCTGTACGCCAAAATACAAAAAAAAATTCTAATTAGATACCGTTGTTAAGTGTTAATATTCTCATACTAATATGGTATACAAACAAATATACAGTATACTATAGGTAGTAGGTGCTATGTGATAATTTATTTTGTCGACAAGTGGGTTAAATAATAAATAAATAAAGTAAACTACTTTTTATAATCCAATCAACACTCAACTAAATAATATAAAGCAAAACCAATAACAAAACCTACTGACCATATTGTATTCTACATAATTTTATATTTTTATTATCCCTCTTAAATCGCTGGAATGTTATGAAATCACTATGAAATCGGCAAATATTTTTTTTCATCGATTTTTTACAAATTATTGTTTTCCCTATAATTACAATATCGAATAGATTAAGGTTAGTACTAACATAAATAATGTATTTTCAAATAGTGAAATTTTTTTTGTTCAATTTAACAATTAGCATTATAATATTAAGCTCTAATCTTTACCAGAAGACACTACTACAATTATCCGATTATTACTATCAAAGATTATATAATCCCATTTATCAATTATTATAAATCCCTAGGTACCTATTTTTAACTTACGACATTAAACTTCAACAAAATATTTTCCTCTCAATGATCTAATTTCTTCATATCTATTGCCAATGCATGTTAGGGCTCTCATCTAATATCTTTATTTCTCATCTACAAATCTGTGATTTATATGAAATTAGACCATGGGTATTTTTTTTCTGGCTCAGATTGTCTCACTCATTGTAATACACTCAACAACCTTCAAATACCACTCCCAATCATCAGAGCTCTAAAATCCAGCTTATGCTTGGCGGATACGCTTAAAAATAATAATGAATATTTATCGTTTATATAATATGTACTTTCCAAGCGAACGCTGGTGTCATAATTATCAATTGGTTTTTTTCAGGAATTGCAAAGAAGGTTAGATCAAATGCTAGGAAAGCCAGGCAGCTACCTGGCAGGAATTGATCACTCAGGCAATGTTAAGCCTATGACAATTGGTGCTCGTTTGTATAGGCTAGAACAGCAGGTAAAATGTAGTTCACTAGACCAGAGGTTCCCAAACTGTGGGTCGCGATTATACTTTTAGTGGGTCGCGCTATTTTTTTAAATAATACAAAAATATAATCATCTATTACTTTTTGTTGATGTTCAAAGTTCAAATTCAGTTTTATCG